GCCTTCCCCTGCCCCTGGCCTCCCACCCCAGCACAGGGCCAGCAGGTCACCCTGAGGTGTGGGGTGCTCCAGGGACGCCGCCCAGGGCCCCTTCCACACAGCCACCGAGAATAACAGCACCGGTGCAAACGGAACACCTGAAGTTCGAGATCTCTGAGCAAATTGGTCTAGTGGAAGGTGTCCCTGCCCATGGCAGGAGGGTTGGAACTAGATGATCTCTAAAGTCCCTTCCAACCTGAACCCTTCTGGGTTTCCATGCTTGCAACACTTCTCAGGTCCATGTGGGAAAACACTTGTGGGAATGCACTTGTGTTCTTAGTGATCACCATGATCACTAAGTTGTGCACAACTTTAGTGCCTGGTGTGAACGTGTCAACGCTGCAGCCACAGCTCTGCCCAGCTGCTTATGGCCCCAGTGTGATGTAGTAACACCTGTTGTGTTCCTGCAAGGTCTTCAGCAGTCTCCAAAGATTAAATGTCAGAAACAGTAAATAAATTAACAATACACAGAATACAAATTAACTAATTAATATGTATTATTATTGATATAATAGTATTTTCAGTCATAGCTGGACAGCCACAGTTAAAGAAGGACGATCCTGTTTAGGTAACATGTTGTAACCTTCTCTGTGGAGCTACACAGTCTCAGCTCTTGGCTGGCCTGTGAAAGGGCCAAACACCCTTCCAGCATTTTTTCAAAACAACACACATCATTTAAATGCACAGGAAGTGCTTTTTCCTGCAGTATCCTTTACCTGGGACATGCCCAGGCAGACCACCTTAACCAAGGGGAGTCCATGGTGTTGCCATGAAGTCCGGGGTTCCGGTGCCCCTGTGTTTTTTTTGATTCCTGTAGGCACCCAAAAGTGCTTGGGACTGTCGCATCCTGGGCAGACAGGAGGGCTGTGGGGAAGAATTCTATGCCAATGACCTGAAGATGAAAGGCAGTGAGCAGACAGTGACTCTGACTGAGGCACCACTTAACCCCCTGGTTTACCAAGTTAAAATGGCCAAGCCCTTCCCTGAGCAGGCTGATGCATGTACCAGCTGTGTGCGTCCATCCAGGCTGTGCTCGCACTCTGCGCTTCTGGTCTCAGCACAGGCTGCATGGTGGACTCTGGTTATGGTGTTACCCACAGCGTACCAATCTTTGAAGGCTACTGCTTGCCCCATGGTGTTCTCCAGCTTGAGCTGGACAGCTGTGATCTTCCAGCGTGCCTAACACGGATTCTCAAAGAAAGCATCACTTCACAAGTCACCACAGCTCAACAGCTGCTTGTACAAAGCATACAAGAAAAAAAAATGTTATGTGTGCCTGAGCTTCGAGGAAGACATAACTAAGAATCCTGGTGAGGTGGAAAAAACTTACCACATTCTGTTGGCCATGAAATTATGGTTCAAAATTAAAGATTTCACTGTCTGAAAGCCCTTTTTTACCTTCCTAACGTTGGCATAGAATCACCAGGGATTGGCAAGTTCTGCTCCAACTCTATCATGAAAGAATCACAATGAACAAATCATAATGATGTTGGCATAACGATTTCAGTCCTTTCTAGGAATTAAAACGAATGCTTAAACGAGGAGATAAGACTGTATGATTTTGGGTGGTGTTAAGGTGAAAGTCGGTGCTCCTCCTAATAGGAAGTTTTCTGTTTGAACATAAGGCTCCTCCCCTCCTTAAGCGCCTTCCAGCTGACACGGATTACTGTGAAAGAGTACAGGGAGGCTGAGCCTAATGTGGTGCACAAAAGACGTTTCTAAAACACATGTAATTTTACTACAGATTTTACTTCATGGAGAAGAACCTGACGTAGCAGCTACCTGGAAGCTAGTGTCTAGGGGGAACTCAGTGGCCATAGCATGCCTTTCCAAAGTCCAATAAAAATCAGAATATCAGGCACAGTTACTTCCTTCTTAGTTGATGAATACACCTTTCTGATTAGGTGTAAAATACGTTTTAAAAGAGGTTGTTTACCAGAACAATGCTGTACGGTGTATATACAACTGAAGTTAGGAAGACCAAGAGCTCTCTGCTATTGCTTTGTACTCCATTGTACCTGCAATACTGCTTAGCTTGGCAACGCCTTGCTTCTCCGTGGAAGTCTCAGGGTCAACAAGTGAATTCACAAATCCAATTCTGAGGAACAGGCTGCAGCAGAGACGAGACAGGCAGTGTCTGAGGGGAGCAGGTACCGTGCAGGGAGGTTATGCCTTGCATAGAGAGCATGGAAAGAGATAAATAGCCTCTCCAACAGGGCACAGGGGCTGGTTCAGGGTAACAAGGGGAGTCTCTGGGCCGAGTTCCTCACCCGGGGGTCCTCAACTGAGACAGAAAGGGCACGAACGCGAGCCCGGGCCCTAATGCAGCCCCCAGGCTCAAGTCCCGGGTCTGAATCGCAAGCACCAGCCCCCAGACGCCGCCTCCATGCCCCGGATCCGGCTCCAGGTCTCAGATCCAGATGCAGACCCAGTTCTGAGGGAAGAGGAGGGGACGGGTGGAAAGGGGAGGGCGCAGCCAGTAGCGCGCTCCCGGGAGCACATGGTGCGGCCAGCGGACGAATGGCCCGAGCGCTCCAAACTCCC